GGTTGTGGAACAGGCTCACATTTATACAATTTATTTCATAGGTTTGGATGTAAAAGAACTTATGCAAATATTATAATTGAAGATTTAAGTAATCTGCTGAAATTACAATGTGCTTGACTGTATACATGGCAGGCAGTAATTAATTTCCTATTCTTTTTCGTATAATGCTTCTTTCATGTCATCTGATGAGTAAATTCTGAAACTGGAAAAAGCAGTATTGGTAGAACTTCATCTGGGTGGAATTCTCAATTTTTGCCTTCCCCTACCAAAACATATATGTATATGTTATGACTGACTTGAAGTGTATTGTGGCGACGTTCAACACTTTTGCACCATTATGTTACTTTTGGCTTTTTATCAATTTTTTTTACCTAAATAACTTTACATAACACAAAACTATTAATTCCTCCTGGTGTATCACACTTTAAATGGGTTTTTAAATTTACTATATGGCAATCAATTTTTTCTCTTTTCCTAGGATATCATACTCTGTTTATAAGCTTAAGAAGCTGAGGGAAAATATCACAACAGATTCCCTGGAGGTTGTTCTTATGTATGACATTGCATGCATATTGTCAAGTCACTTGAAGGTCAGTACCATGTGGAGATGTTTTTGTTTTTTTTTTCATTTAACAATGTTACACCCCCTTACCCCTATCCACTTCTTGTTCATGCCAGTCTGAATGCATCACAAATACGCCCCAACCTATTTTTGTACTATTTCTATCTTTTTAGAATAGTGCCCAAGAGGAGTTGTTATCTGGTGTAAGCCTTGCCATACCAATATTTCATTGTTACAGACACAGAGCTTCTTGTCAGGTAACTCCAAATTAAGATGGTTCGGGAAGTGGGTGATATGGTTTCCTTGATGTTATTTTGTGAATTGCATGATTAAGAAATATTCTCTAACTTTGACCATACTTCGTCCTTGTTTTTAAAAACTACCAGAGTATTTTTGAGAGTCAAAACAACTACAGTAATGCATAATAATTATGATAATACACTGTACATGTACATAATTATTTTAGTTCAGTAGTCATTGTCAGTAGCCACCCGACATTTGCTTATTGTTGATAGATTTATGGTTAACTCCAGGTCCAGTTTAGTCCAAGGCAAACACCCAATATTGGATTGACAGATGGTGAAGGTGTTGAAAGATTTTGGTCTCACCTGTATCAGTTCCCTACCATCACTAAAGAAATGTCTGTTGATAAAAGAGTTGATGTTCCCACTGATGCTTCATTGCATTATGGTGAACACTCCTTCTCAAGATTATTTCTCTCTTGTCAATAACGTGACTGTGTGTATATTTTTCTTCTCCTCCTTAGTTTTTATTTTAATAATACCCATTTCCATTGTCCCAAATTGTAAAATAATTTTTTCTTGCAGTACCAACTATGATAGCAAGGCTAAAGAAGGCATCAACTTTGCTGTCTACAGTTGGTGAAGAAATTAGAAAACTTATTATTGCATTACCAGGTATATGGTACATTTTTTTTTTTGCCCGGGCTCAATGTATGCTAATGGTGTTTGCTTTGCCAGTTTGGCCCATGAAAATAACATTTTCTTCAATTGAAACCAAAAAGAAACTAACTATTATTAAACAGCAACAGAGCACTTTAAATGC